GGTGTCGGTCCAGCAGTGCTCATCGTCACCAATCAGCTTGCGCTTGGGGTCGGCGGACAAGGTGGTCTTGCCAGTACCGGACAGACCGAAGAAGACGGTAACATCACCATTCTCACCCTCGTTGGCAGAGGAGTGAAGAGTCAGGACGTTGTGCTTGACAGGCATCTCGTAGTAGAGAACGGTGAAGACACCCTTCTTCATCTCACCGGCGTACTCAGTACCAAGAATAACCATCTCCTTGTCGGCGAAGTTAATAGCCACGGAGGTGGCGGAGGTCATACCCTCAGTGAAGCGGTTGGCAGGGAAAGAGCCGGCGTTGTAGATGACATAGTCGGGGTGGAAGTGGTCGAGCTCTTCACGCTTGGGGCGGATCAGCATGTTGCGCATGAAGAGAGCGTGGTAGGCACGAGCGCAGACAACGCGAACGCTGATGCGGTAGCGCTCATCCCAGCCGGCGTAACCATCGATGACATAGATGCGGTTGCGGGTGTTGAGGTAGTCGACAGCACGCTCACGGTTGATACGCCAGACCTATGGGGAAAAATGTTAGTCACCAGCCTTATTGACGTCATGCACGTGATGACCTCGGGCCAAAGGCGGGGATCGTGGAGCCGCAGCTGAATGCCGAGGGGCAAATTGGGGGGCAAAAAAAAAGAAGGGCAAAGAAACGGGCAAAGGGAAATATTCTCAAGATGAGAGGGAATGAGGTATATTTCGGCAGAGACGGCATTCCAATGGGTTGCACGAAGTTATGCCGAAAAGCTTGACCTCCCGATGCATATGCAAGGGATCCCAAGTGGATCTCTCATCGGGCCCATCTGCAAGGGTGTATGCTCCCAACATCGACAATGAGATATCCAGTAAATCGCGCACAAAGAATTAAAAAGAAAAAGGAAAAAAAAAGAAAAAAGCAAAAGTTACTCACATCAAGTGTCATGGGCTTATTTACGGGTCCCCACCAGATATCGCCTTCTGAGGAAGCTTCTTGGACGATGCGCTTGTCGGAGGGGGAACGACCAGTCTTAGCACCAGAGTATGCGCTCAAAGCACCGCTAGATGTGACGGCAGTACCAGTCTCGTAGACAAGAGCATCTTCGTAGAGGGCAGGAACAGAGGGGTTGGCAATCTAAGTCATGTCAGTCAATGAGGCAAGCTAAGACAGCGACATAGACATGATCCAATGTCAAGCGCAAGGGTGGCGAGGTCTTACGATGGAAACTCGGTCGTAGTCAATGTGAGCAGTCTCGTGAAGTTCCTCCTCAAGCTCGGTGTGACCCTTGCTAGGCCTAAGTAAAGACTGTTAGCGACGAGAAGATAAGGACAGTGAGGTAGGAAGGCAACATACTGAACACCACCGGGGTGCAGCGCAGTGCGATTAACAGATGTGGCAACCATTGTTCTGAGTGAAGTAGAGTGATAGTTATTGTTGCGTTGTTTCGCGATTTGTTGTTGAGAGAAATCTGAAGCCAGAGGACCAGGAGAACTGGAGCGGCCGAGGGGTATATAATCTTTTCCAGCAGAGGTCATAGTCACGATCGGTCTTGGTATGAAGGAGGTTCTCGTGCACTTTCGGTAGTGTTTCTCCACAGTTCCACGGGTGATGTCGGGGCTGAACGCCGAGCTGAAGCGGACACGCGGTTGGTGATGGGATGAAGCACTGTGGGTTGCAAATGCCTGGAGGCGCAGTCCGACTTGACCCGAGTGGTTCAAATGGGCACGAACTTGATTCGGAACTAGGGGGATCTATGACCGAGAAGGCGATGAGTTCTAGAATCAAAAATCAAAAATAACTCATTGATATATTTTAGTGAGTAGTTTACAAGGGGAAATTTGATAAGTCCAGTTCATGTGTTCTTTTATGCTTGCTCTGACGGATGCGGCACACACCCTAGGTTAACTTTTATAATTTCGTCAATCATGTAATAATTAGCCTTGTATCTTATTGAACATGAGGTTTATTTCTCTCTCGAAATCTAGGATTTCATCTACGGACGAGAGGAATGACGCGCAATGACTTCACTAGGTTGATATACTTCTAAAAAGGTAATAGTTTGGCCAGGCGAAAATCGCGGGGAGCTGACATAACCTTGTCGATCTTGGAACTTGACCCTTCACTTCACATCTCTTCTGTTTTCAGCTTGCATCAACCCGAGCAGATATCGGAATGTATTGCCCGTGCGAAAGACAAAAAAAATTGATATATCTCTTCTTTGAACCCGGATGACAGGTTCGGCTGTAAAGATCGGAACGAAATGTCTGGGAGTAGAATTCAGGAGCAAATAACGGCGTTTAACCAGCCGACGATGATGCACATGCATCCATCGATCGCGGCGGCGGGGACCAATCAGAGTCCATACATTTCCACCTCCTAGGATGGTCGGGTGGGCAGAAGATATTGCCGCTGGGTCCTAGGCCCTTTTTTTACTGGCTTTTGCTGGATGACGATAATCGCTCGTTGTGGTTGTGCAATAAGATCAACACCAGGCTCCGAGTAGTATCCGGGTCTCCATCCAAGCCCTAGCGAAACCAATGCATATTACGTCCCAACGCCGAAAGCTACGGCCTAGACCACGGACCTTGAAGAATGACTCCCAAATAATATCGCACATGAGCGGTCGGCCATGATTGTGAGAGTTTCTATCGGTCGCCGTCGCCGTCGCCTCTCGGGATGTCCAATTCTACAGGTGTGGCTTGTGCGATACAGTCAACCCCAGATCCTTCTCCCCGTTAGCGGTGGATCCCGAACCGGCTACGGGCCTCGGGATCGTGACCTTTTCTTTTTTTTCCTTTTCTTTTTTCTTTTCTGTTTCTTTGGTTAGATTCCACCCGGAGCCATTCTTCGTGGAACAATTAGTTGTTTTTGCGCGATTTGTTTCATCTTACGTAGTGACTTCTCTTTTTTAAACCCTGCTGATCTTTATTTTTATTTTTTTTCCTTGCGTGTGACACGAATACCAGCTGAAAGTATGTCACGAATTTGAGGCTTTTTTTTTGTTCATACCCTGAAGGAGTAAGGGCTGGTGGAGAAAGGGGGTTTCCCCCTGTCTCCTCCACAAAACAGAATATGTATAGACATAGACGTGATCTTCAATGAATCTATTCACGCATTCCGGGAACTTCGCTTTGCCCTTTTTCGTCCACACCCGTCGCATTTTCTTCTTTATGTCCATTATCCGGACTAACATTCACCAACGTTACTAGCATGTAACTAGTAGATTCTCGGTCCTTGATATCAATCACAGCCAATCATTTCTGAAACTTAGCTTCCTAATTTACCCGTTGTGATATGGTTCTTGTCTTTCATTCGAGTCTACCTATCCAAAATATCTGCCCAACCAGCGCCGGCTGTTTGAAAATGGCCTGGGCCAATTTGAAGGGGCACGAAGATTGACTTGTCTCCTATTTTCCCCGAAACTGACTCCAACCGGCTGCACGTCATTGTTGATATTATTACTTCATTTTACAGAAACTGAGTTCAACTACAATATGAGAGCTTAGGAAATCAATATACCTAATCTCATTCCCAATCCCATGACTTGTCACATTGGGCAGTATTGCTCCGGCCAGTATACATTTCAGTCGACGCGCACTTCTTGGCGTCTTGGCTTTTATCTGGGGAAATTGTCGCGTGGTCTCATCCTAGCTCGAACTGCGGATGCGGGGTATACTTTAATGAGCTACCAGTAAAAAGGCACAGAGGATTAGCCCGTGACATGCATGCCTCGGCGATTTTCATCTAATGATGTAGTTGGGCTTTTGAATTGCAATTCGGTTTGCCTTGCCTGTGGATTAACAGATGCCACGTCCTAGTGCGTTTTTCCGAAGTCGAATATGTCGGCAATGGTGAATTAGGAAGGTACGGGCAAGGATCAACGGCATGCTTGACAGTGTGTTATCAAATGCTACAGCCAAGTAGTTAAGTTATTGTTGCGATTCAGTATTAACGTTCAGCGAAACATCTATGGAGCGCAAAAAAAAGATGCCCTCGTCCAGGTTCGAACTGGAGACCTTCGGATGTCAATCTTGTTACCAAGAATGTCAAAGGATATGAGACCGACGTCATAACCAACTAGACCACGAAGGCTGTCGACCGAGTTGTCGGATAGACCACTCGGAGCGATTGTGTTCATCGGCGCAGGAAATGCCATGATGTCAAATGAAGGAATACAATCGGTCACGGTTGGCCAAAAATCCAAGCCCATTTAAACTTTATACTGCGGTTCCTTCTCTACCTGATTGGCCAGCGGCTGGCACTGTTATAGTTAGTTATCAGTGTCCGTACAGATTGTTGAAATAGCGGGTTTTGTCATTTTAGTTGGTTAGAGTTCTCAACATCGGTCATCTATACCATACATTGTTCGTATACCAGCTTTCTGTCACATTTCCATAAGTGAGACAGGCGGTATGGGGGAATCAGCAGTCTGAGGGATATCCGAACTAATGATATCAATACCGCTCGAAATTAGTCTTTATAGAAAAAGAAACCTACTGTCCTTACAAGAGTCCATATGAATTGAACCATCACTTAAGTTCATTAAGAATTTATCTCACAGAGACGAGGTTTATTTTTAATAATATGCTAGGGGGGAGGGAATAAGCAGAGCACAGAGGAAATAACCTATATAATCATTTCCGTCGGACTCGGAGCCCGCTAGATTCTTAGAGCTATGGAAAACGCACCTATGCAAAGTTGAGCCATTCTTCAGGATATTTTCTTTTATCGCGTTAGCCTATCTATATAAGCGTGTAACACCTGAAGGCTATCAAATCATGTGCTGCAACAAAATAGCCCTGAGCGGGGCACCAGTCAGGCGGGGTAGAAAAGTCAGCAATTTTCTCGCCCAACGAGGTCTACTTCATTTCTCCCACATCTCCGAATAATCATTTCTTAAATAAATTACTTAGATCAAGGTATGCAAGGGTTGTGTCTCGTTCTATATCTCATGAGGACCTTGGTGGTTGCTAACGCCTCATCAGATCTACTCCATCTATTATTAGCAATGAACGGACACGCTGCCTGCCCTAAGTGCGGTGCCGCCGCTGACGGCGCTGGCAAGAGCTGTGGCGCCTGTGGCGCTGTATGTTGATTCTGTAGTACTTTTATGTGATCTTATACTAACCATCCTAGACCTGCCCCGTTTAACACATCCCTCGAGCGTTTTGAGTGAAAGGTATCGGAGTTGGGACTGTTTGTGGTATAGAGATGGCGCGAGGATGGGCCAGGGCTGGACTTGAATATCGATATGTCCATAGGTAGCAATGATATGATGACAACGAAGAGAATGAATACAAATCTATCCGAAACCAAGTGCGATTGTTATGTACGTAAACAAAAGAAACGACGTGAGCGCGTTTCCAAAAGAAAGAAAAAAAGGAAAAAAAAAAAAGATAGAAGACTGTTCACAGGCGAGGGAAACAACCATCAGGATATAGAGTGCGCAATAAGAATACCTCCTCTTCCTCCCCATTCCTGAACCAGAAGCTGGAACCAGGACCCCAAAATCACCCAAGTAGAGACATCAGCCCCCACTTAGTGAACAAAGTATACACCGCTTAGGCAGGCCCGGCGGTCTTGCGCCACTGGGACCAAACACCGATCAAACTGCTGACGGTACCTGTGATACCGACGAGGCCATCGTCGAGGTTAAGGACACCAACAGCAGTCAAAGGTGCAGCCAGATCACAGACATCAGAGAGGAGCTGTATCCGAGCAGCAGAGCGCTCCCTAATAAAAATATCAGCATAACATCCATTTCTCATGCGGGTAGTAAGCAGGGAACCCATACTTCTCAATCTTTTTAGCCTCAACAACACCTTCACCCTCCTTACGGTCAATAGTCTTCTCCTTCTCCTGGAGACGAACAAGAGTGTAAACACCAGCCACAGTGCTGAAAATCAGACCCGCAGCCCAGGAGCGGTAGGCGGACTCCTGCAGCCGCTTAGCGGAAGACAGTTTCCGAATTCCGATGACATCGATGACTGTAATAGCGTCGAGAGTCAGGTATCCGGCATAACCGAGCTGGCGACCGATAGCCAGGTAGCGCAGGACGGGGTCGACGGGACTCTTGTTATCGAAAGCGACGGCGGCGGCCTTGAGATGCTCGAGGAACTTGCCGATACGCATAATCTTGCGGGTCGTGCCGAACTGCTTCTTCACGGCATTGTACGGGTCGATCGCCGACTGCGGCTTGTTCGTCCGGTATAGGTACCACGCGTAGAATCGGGAGAAGTATTGGATGGTGCGGAGGAGCTTATCGCGGCCAACTATAGGTTGCATGGATGGTTAGCTTGAGTGTTCGGGTAGAACTCCGCTGGGCTTCTCGGCCGAGTTCCCGACACATAGGGGGTTTGCTTTGGGGGGTTTGTTGTGGTCGTGATGTGAAATGGGATTTTTTTTTTGTGTGTGTGTGTACGGATAGAGGTGCCGGAATGTTGCTTTTTGGATTCTGAGGATGTGTCACGTACCGGTTGTCGCGACGAAGCGCAGCCAGTGCGCCAGCGCAGGGTGGTAGATGAGGGTGTTAGCGACCATTTTTTGGCTGTTGTCAATGGAAATGGATAAAATGCAGCTTCGGACACCTAAGAATGGAGGATGTCAAGAGTCAAATGTGATGGTTCACAAGGGAAAAGGGAGTCGGTAATTGACTGGCGTATGGAGCCGGAAGACCGACCTCGGCTGATCTCGTGCGTGTGGGGAGAAATCCGGAGGTTACAATGTAATGGTATTTACGATTATTACAACATTTGTGGTAATTGAGACTTTATTCTGTTGAAATCCCTTGAAATCCCTTGAAATGCTTGATTTCCATATCCGCGACTGTTTACTAACTCGGCTTGTCACTTTCTGTTTTTCACGTGAGTCAGCGTTATCACATTCTTCGGACATTGCGTCTTCGAATAATCGCATTCTATACCCATTTTATGCTCGGCATTATTCAAGATTGTTCCTCCGGGCCTTATATACAAAGTCAATCCTAGTCCCAATTTCATCCGAGCACCCCGTCAACAACATCCCCAACGAATAGCATCAACATTGAATCATGCATTCTTGTTCGCCCTACCTAGGCGCTTTACCTCGTCCTATGGCCCTTTCTGTGCGGTTAGGGTAAGCAGGTCCGTGAGAAAGAGGTATTCGCAGTCGTAAACTATTGTAAACATCATTTTCATTTCATAGTCTACCGTCTCAAAATACCGTTATTCAAAGACGATTTTCAGTGCGGGAGTATTCCTTCAAATCTGTAAACTCATGTCATATGTACAACCCTGTGGAGTATACCTCACAATGCCGCATCTAACCCCTTTTCACCTTGCTTTTGTTCTGATTAAATACCCAAATATATAGGAAAGGATATACTGTCTCCGGAATAAGCGTAATCACAATAACCGCGATATTCCAAAATGATCCCACATACTCCCAGTTTCGAGGGATGTTGAGATATCGCCATATAAAAAGACCATAAGCCGTGAGGCAACCTAAATAACGCACGAGCCTATAATGACAATTAATCAAACATCCTAACCACGGCACCGGGAAAAGCAAGCTGCGTACCAAGTCTCAAGGGAATGGCCCAGTAGAGAACGATGTTTCACCAGCCCATACACGTACACCCACCCAGCCGGAAGCTGCAAGAGGATACCAGTCCAATATGCTGTAATCTGCTCGCGGTCATCTGGGTAGAGATATCCCAAGTACCTCAACCCTGCTAGAGCTGTTATACAGTATACAAGCATCTCTCCGGCAATGCGCTTTCCTTGATCGGGGCCATGGACACGCCAGAGAGCAAGCGCGACAAACGCGAGGTCAAGCTCAAACCAAACAAGAAAGCATATTCTCTCCAGCCGCGTTGATGTAGTCGCAAAAGCGTAGTATAATTCATACGCCAATGTCAAAGACCTAAAGCAAACAGTCAGCCACCCAGTGTAATATACCGTGGGAAGTTTGCCAGCGTACAGGAACTTGATTGATCCGGGTAAAACCCCATCTTTAACAACTCGCATCATAAGAAATACATATAAAAGGGCGTATAATACCCCGCAGGAGATAATAAGACCATCCTGAACGAAAAGGTAGCCCTCGGGTGGGTTTAGACGCGCATCGGCGGGTTGTACCACCAGGTGGGGGATATACTCCGTTAACCAAAAGTCAGACATATCTTCAGCGATCGACAGAAAAGCGAAACTATTGATCCAACCAAGCTGAAACAGTTTTGAGATGTCTGGGATAGACCTGAATAAGAAAGGCAGAGATCTTACAGATGCATATGACATCATAATGACATTATAAGTATATCTAGAGCCTTACAAAGAAATACGATTGCTTATAGAACTCTAGAGGCATACGCTTATCAGTAGAGAAGCGGTTCTCTATCAACTTTTGACGATCCTCTCTGTTCGTCTCTGTGCTACGACCTACCAGGGATCTCCAAGTAAACCGATCCAATATCCCTAACTCTAGTAGTCCTACAAAGCCCGACTACAAAATCATGGGACCAAGAAGACAAAGTATTCCTAGGAGAATCGAGCTTAGAATAGCAATATTTATTAAGTGCCCAAATAGGTTATAGCGCAATTACTTACAGCCATTTTACCAGAATTAAAGATCCCATTGAAATGCCAGCCTTTTCTTCATGGGGTGATAGGCGCCATCTAAAAGTGACTAAAGCAGAAAGGGAAAGCAAAAAGGTGGCAGTGGAAATCAATCATATAGGTAGGCTCGAGAATTTCTACTATATCCTCCCTTTAGTGGTATATATCCTATGCTCTGAGATGTCATATACTAGACAATTTTCCAAGGCTAGCCCTTGTTTGTGGGTATCCTTATCTTAAATTGAATACCCCGACCGCCTAACTAACTATAAATTCCTTTTATTTAAGTAGACTGCGGCATTGCCTGTTCATAGGCACCTAGGAGGTGCATATCGCCTGTGTATAGTGGGCGGTAGGCGATGTAGATATTCGAGTGCCTATCTACAACTAGACTTCCACAGAACCCAACTCAACCCGGGCTGCGTTGGGTTTTGGGTCGGACCCCCCAACTTAGGTCATAGACAGTGCGAACATGCTAAGACTCGTGACTACATAAATTATACGGATTTGAGCTATATATTTTTTAGGTATTTGACTTACAACAAGTCCTCTTTCAATAACTACAGCTTCTGATATATTGCAAACTAAACAAACTAAATCTTATACGTTCAAAATCAAAAAAATCAAATATATATATATATATATAAAGGATATAGCAATTGAATTACAAAACCAAAACAAATATAAGTAAAAAGTATTTTATATTACTAAAAAAGTATCTTTAAAAATACCAAGACTTATGTTTTATGTATTTTGACAGAAAGCTGGTATACGAACAACGTATGGTATAGATACCGATGTTGACAACTCTAATCAAAAATGATAAACCCCGTTATTTCAACAATCTATGAGGACATAGATGACTAACGTTAATGTATACTTTTGTATGGTATGTCTGGTACCTAATGTTATATGGTTCACACGGTATCAGGTAGAAAAGGAAAAAACGATATGTACAGCAAGCAATGGCAACGATGGTACGATTGCAATCTCTTATAACCAGGAACTTGATGGCTTATCTAAAGAGCCTTGCAGCCCTTTAAAGCACGATACATGGTACATACCTGGGTCGAAATCACCCTAGTAGCCTTCGAAAAGACAACCCGGCTTCCGTCCTACCTCCTCTTGGGTCAAAGCACGAATCCCATCGATATACCCAATCCGCGGCCATTTCTCGCAGATAGCTTTGATATCGTCCGCATACACAAAAGCCGACGACAAGCCTATAAGATCCTGACTAGAGCCAAGGGTAAGAAGTGCCGATTGAAGATTGACACTCTTACTAAAACCCCGAAACCTAATAGTATAACGTGCCATAGCCTCCGCCGCTAAGTCAGCCTATTCACTCAGCGGTGGAATTCTATTTTAGATATATTTCCCTCCTGTTTAAGAATCCATTCTCTAGGCCGGATAGCGCCCTATACCTCTAATAAAAGTTTGCTTATTTGATTCCCTCCTCGCTTTTTTCCTATTCGTGAAAGGCATAGGTGAGGAAATAGAGCTCTTTGTCAAACCCGAGCTCTAACTTAGCCTGCTCGGTGTCAAATCCTGCGTAGTTTGCGACACCTAGGCCGAAGGTATAAGTACGGAAACAATGGTTGGCGGCCTAGTCGGGGATATTTTCCTTAATTGTCTTCTCCGTACGAAAGCAAATGGTGGTTTTAGGAATGTCGTAAAAGGAGGAGGGCTTGGCACAGCTTACACCACCGGACTAGGGATGGTTAAATGTCTCTGACTGATTTGAGAAGGGGATATGGGTAATTTTGAAGTTGTAACGGCGTGTTGAATGAGCCCTTCTCACGGTAATACTCAATTCTCGTAGATCGGCAATATGCCCATGTCCTTTAAATGGAATTCGTGGCGCAGCAAACCACAGTCAATTTCTACCCCACATTTAGATAACGATAGAATTGCTAAATATCTGTCTATAGTACGAGTGTCTCCATAAGCTCAGTCGCAGAGGCTCCACCGGGTACCTCCACCGGACACCTCCATGAAACACCCCCACAAGGCCGACGGAGTTGGAGACGCCTATCCGTGATTTCAGTCGCCTCTCCCGATAACGACCATATGACTACACAGGGCATTTTCGTAGATACACTCAGATATTTCGCCCATTTTGTTACAGATTCTATTTCCGGCGTGGTATGTTGCAACGGGCTTGTCTTCTTCTCGACTGTCTTGGAAATTGAGGAAGCAGTAAGCATTCTCTGACTCTAATGATACAGGAGAGACTGTTTGGCCGAAATACCAAGTTAAATGCATTAGACGCTGCTGGAACCTTTTAAGATATTCAGGCGATTGAGGGTTGGGTATTCCACTTTCGTTTCACATCCAGATTTGGGCACTGACTGGTCAATTCAATTTTTGTAGAATTTCAATAGATTTTCGTACGATCAGCGTATGTGAATATATCCCGACTCTTTGTAAGGATCTTTTACTTTGTGCGCTAGCCCATCAGAATCCCATGATCTCACGTAATACAAGATGGAACATAAAGTCTAACAGACAGAGTGACTCTTCATTCAATAGGTAGGTATATCAACATATGTTTGGGGTGAGAGACGAAAATTTGTATATGCGACAGGAAGTGAGATTCTGCTATCACAAGGCCATAGACACAATCTTGCCCAGAAGGCAATGAATGACTTTTACAATAATCACAATCCCGACCACCAGGATGTACTAGGAACGTGAAATGTCTTCTTCAAAGGAGTAGACGAGGTGGAGTCTCCAGTATAGACAGTGTACTTTCCTCCTTCTTCGATCCAAGAATGACGTGTTTCATCCCAGTAGCTAGTCGCGTGCTTTCGATTCATGCGAATCAAAGCCTTTTCCTGTTCTTTTTGACGCAGGAATATTTTTGAGAATCCCTTTAGCTCTTTTCGCGGCCTGTTGACTTGGGATTGTGGTGGCGAGACGTAAACCTGCACAACATATGCGCCATCATAGCTACCCGTATTCTCGACATTCACCGACACAAGGACCTCGTCCCTTTCAAAGTCAATAGACAGCGAAGATAGCTTAAATGTGGTATAGCTCAGGCCATGTCCAAAAGGGAACAGTACCTGTTTCTTAGAGTTCTCATACCATCGATAGCCCACATAAACATCTTCGCCATATATCACTCGATTGGCTTCACTGCGAAAATTGAAATAGGCAGGATTGTCCTCGTTGCGAACGGGGAAAGTCAAAGGCAGCTTTCCGCTAGGATTAACGGCACCAAAAAGCACGTCAGCAATAGCATGCCCAGTTTCATTCCCCCCGTACCAGGCCTGAAGCAGTGCTTGTGCCTTATCAATCCAAGGCATAGTGACTGGTGTGCCGGATTGGACCACAATCGCTGTGGTAGGATTCACTTGAAGCACGGCGTCAATCAGCTCTTCTGTTCCTGGTGGCAGATCCATGTTCTGTCGGTCGTAGCCTTCACTTTCCCAGTCACCATTGAGGCCAACACAAAGAACAACTTGATCCACGCTTTTCGCCAATTTAACAGCTTTTTCGATTTCTTCTTCGAGGGAAAACTTCCTGGCCGCCCCAAAGCGAACTCCACCAGCGCCGAAACCACTGGCGCCAGGACGTTGAAATGTGACTGTTGGATCTGTTCCCATTTCACCATGAATATTGTAAGATTTCCCGGCCTCAAGCCAGATTGATCCAATCTCCTCAATCGTCCCTGTTCCAAAAAAGCTATCCCCGCGGGTTTGCTTGGTGGCATTATCGACCACGCATTGCCCATCGACATAGAGTTTCGCAGTTCCTGCAACAGTGATACTGAACTCATATTGGCCAGAAGCTTCGGGAATTAGTGTTCCAACGAAATCGGCGTAGTAGAGGTAGCCTTTGATTTTGGGGTTCTTATAATCCATCAAAAACACTTCGGAGTTACTAACGTGAATGTGATCCACTGGACTCCTGTTTTTGATAGATGGATCTTCGAGATAGACCATCATGTCTAAACCCATCGAGCCATTTGCACTCTGACATAGGCCTGAAAGCAAAGGTAATCTTTTCCACCCCGGCGATCCTAGAGTATACTGGACTGACTTTGATTGGCTCCGAATGCCTTCCAAAGGAGAAACTGCACGATATGGACAAAGAGCGGCTGAACCACCTCCACAGTAAGCGGCGAACGCAGCGTTCGGCCCAATAACTGCGGTAGTCTTTCCCGTGGTGAAAGGGAGAATGTTGTTGTCGTTCTTCATCAGAACGATGGAAGACGAAGCAATCTTTCGGAGCAAATTTGCTGTCTCGGGGGTGTCAAGTGTCCTCTCGGGTGCATTCTCCGGAACGTTCAATGCCATTCCATGATCGACCAACTTGAGCACTTCACGGACTCGGCAATCGAGCTCATGTGGCAATAGCTTGCCGCAGCTTAATGCTCGTGTGATAAGCCTACCACGAACAAGGGATGGCCCTGGCATCTCCAAATCCAATCCGGCTTTCAAGGCCTCAGTTGTAGAATATGTACCGAACCTATTTGCAAATCCAATTTTAGTCTTCTGTTTCGCGTTCTCGTAGTGGTGCAATCCCTACCAGTCTGATAGCACGAGACCATCAAAACCCCATTCCTCGCGAAGAATCCCCTGTATCAAAGCAGGGTTTTCACTGCAGTGTACGCCATTCAAGCGGTTATAAGCAGTCATATAACACTTTGGTATAGCATCTCGTTGTACAATCTGGAAAGGCAATAAATAAATTTCTCGGAGAGCCCTCTCAGTCACAATGCTGTCAACCAGTTGCCTTTGGTCTTCTTGATCATTGCAAACGAAGTGTTTGATTGCAGCAGACACACCAGTTGACTGGATGCCGTTGACAATCTCAGCACCAAGCTTGCCTGACAAAATGGGATCTTCACTGAATGACTCAAAGCCTCGGCCTCCGAGCGGCGATCGCTGCATATTCACCGTTGGCCCAAGAATGACGGCAACGCCTTTCACGATGGCTTCTTTTCCTTGTAGCTCTCCCGCTTCTCGTGCAAGCTTCACATCCCATGTTGCACCAATTGCGGTTCCTAAAGACTAAAATGTTACCCCACATTCCCAAAAAATAAAACCAGAAACAATCAATTGCATGCATACCACATGGGAAGCACGCTGCTGGAACGCCATTGAACAATTTGGTTCCTCGAACACCATTAGGTCCATCTGAAAGCCGTATCGATGGAATTTGCAATCGAGGAATGCTGGCCGTGTGCCAGAAGTCTGTGCCAGAAACAAGGGCAATTTTCTCATCGATTGACAGCTCTGTTAAGAGCCTCTCGATGTGGAGCGGCATGGTGATACGTTTGATCGCAACTTCAGCTTAAACCTTGAGTAGGTTACGGACGAAGCTTGCATTGACAAATGTCGCTCTATCTTGAATTTATATCTGTAGCGTGCATCAGAACCACCGGCTGAACTTCGGAAGCTTGTGTGATTGGAGATGGGAACATTCTAACCGGTCTACATTAGTGATCACCCTGAAGCTATTCGAGTGGCCCGATTGTTGTGTCGTAAAATGAGCCTTATCTTAGTATTAGCCCATTTGCAATGTTTATTTCCCAACGCCACCTCCACCCCCAAACTTTGATGCTCCGTTGGAGATATAATCTCCACTGATAACTAGGAGATAGCTTTGGGGAACCTGGTATTAGTTTTCATATCTTAGTTTTTATTGATAATGAATAATTTATGTGACTGGACTCCATGACCTGGAGCAGTTGTGTAGCCCGCGAGGACCAACCAGAAGTCAGATTAAAACATTGTTATAACTTTTCATTGGCCTCCTTTGAATATGACAAATCTTTTCTTTTTTTCAAAAAAAAAGCGAAATCTCTCCGGTGACACATAGAATACCTGATTAGCCCAAAGTAGGGTGGACAAAGTCACCCCGGTTGTTCGATTGCAAGATACGCTACGAAGTTGCCCAATGAGGTGTTCAATTGCTTGCTTTAAGATATCACTTGCAACACAAGAGCGGAAAGGAACGGAATCCAATTCAATGGAGGTTGATAAGCTGGTCTTCGATGCAAGCGAACTAAGATATCAGTCATTTCTATCAGTGCTAGTTACTATGCGAGGACTCTTTGCTGATGTAGGGAAGTAAGGTAGATTAAAGTGAGTGATTAAATTGATTCCACAAATAAGAAGACATAACCATAGAGTATAGGCCCCTGAAAACTCCTTATATATAGGCCCAAGTTGGGGATATCGCCAAAATTCTAGACCAGTGACTGTCTTTTTCTTCTCAGTCCATCTCAAGTTGATACCTTCGATAAAACAGTCTGTAGCCATGGCAGAAGATGAAACATCTTGGTATAAACAACCTCACCTTATTCGCCTCAATCTTTCGCTGATCTTCCTATGTTTTTATGGTAAGTATAATGCCATTCCCCACCACTGGTTTCTACTTGCGCTTGATATCGGTTCTAATTTTTATCTATGAAAAGCTGCCACTGTTGGCTACGATGGATCAATGATGAATAGTTTACAAGCTTTTCCTAGTTGGATGACCTTCATGAACAATCCTTCCTCCGCCTGGCTAGGATTGATCAACGCAATATATTGGATCGCTTTTCTTATTGCCTGCCCGATGGCAGCCTGGGCTTCTAACTTCTTTGGCCGGAAAAGGACAATTTACTTCGCCTATATCCCGTTGATTATTGGCTTTGTGTTGGAAACCGCTGCCCAGAGTTCTACCGTCTTTATCATAGGTCGTGTCTTTCTCGGTATTCCATCAGCCATCTGGGTAAATGTCGTGCCGTTGATTATTACCGAGTGTGCTTATCCATCTCATCGAAGCATACTCACTTCATTATATTTCTGTGGATTCCATGTGGGGGCTGCTATATCTGCGTGGTGCGCCTATGGTACCCGAAGCTATGGTACATCGTGGACATGGAGGACAGTGTGCATGCTTCAGTTGCTTTGTCCAGTATTGGCTCTACCTGGTATTGTTTCATGCTCCGAAAGTCCCCGTTGGCTGTTCATTACTGGCCAGGGAGAAAAGGCTCGGCAGATCCTCATCAACACACATGCAAACGGAGACATTTCTTCGCCTGGGACCCAAGCTGAAATTCTCGACATCGAAACAACACTAGCACAAGAGCAAGAATCTCCGGTGACTGCAGGTTATCGTGGCTTGATATCTACACCGGGAAATCGGCGCAGGCTGCTAATCACCGTCACCCTAGGCATTTTTTCGCAGTGGGTCGGAAACGGTGTTGTCACATACTACCTCAGCATGGTCCTCAATACTATTGGTATTAGCTCCGTCAAAGAACAGACACTAATATCTGGGTGTCTGCAAATATGGAACATCATCCTTGCTGTTATTGGAGCCAACCTGGTTGATCGACTTGGTCGCCGTGTCCTATTTCTCCTTTCGTTTGCTTTGATGTTCACCAGCTATATCATCATCACAGCCTGCTCGGGATCATTTGCAAATTCTGGGACAAAAGTTGTGGGCATTACCGTCATTCCATTCCTGTTCCTTTTTTATGCGGGGTATGACATTGCAATGTAAGTGGGAATTCTTTCCTTTGTGGACGCAATATATTCCTGACATTTGCTACAGTACACCGCTCCTGGTTGCTTATCCAGTTGAGATCTGGCCATACCAGTGGCGTGGTCGCGGTTTGAGTATGACTTGGATGGCGTCCACGTTGGCCCTCATCTTCAACACATTTGTCAATCCCATTGCTTTGGATATCCTAGGCTGGAAATATTACTTCGTGTTTGTGGCTGTCCTGATATTGTACGGGATCACTGTCTTTTTCCTTTATCCCGAGACCAAGGGACATACGTTAGAGCAGATGGCTGTGGTATTTGATCGATTGGAAGTGGAAGGGGCAAGTTTGAATGAAAAAACTGTTCATGGAACGATTGATGGGACAGCGAAAAGCGTTTGAGCTTTCAACAGAGCCCATAGAAGAGAGGAACTGCAATGGTGTGGGGTGCATCATCTGTCTATATGTCGAATGCGAATACTTCAACAATCAGGGTAGCTAGAAATGATTGGAGTGCATATTTATAGTCTTTGAACCGGTGAAAACAAGTTAGCCTAAAATATAAAACCAAACAATCACATAGTATGTTGGCTCAAGGTCACGATTGCAGGTACAGACAGTAGTTATACGCTTAATTATTGACGGTTTTCTGTTTCTTGATTGACACTCACATTTGAAGCTTGAGCCATGAGCTGGAGTACCGCAACCGCGGACTCTGAGTCATTTCACAACCTACATGTCCTTGCGACAGGCCGACATTTAGAAATCTACAAAAGAAATTAAATATTGATTTGGCACTAATTTGAAACATGCCAAAATTAAAGACTGATGCAGACTACAGACGAGTGGCATATACCCTATAGCCAAAAGAAATTTAGGACTGAAGGGTCTCGGAGTACATGCAACCAAGTACCAAGGCCCCACCATCACAGCGAATGCCTCGTTCAAAGGTCAACTCAAGCAACAGCTACAAGAAACGACTTCAAGTACTCAAAATTGAGTAACCCTGGCGTTCTACCGGAGCCTACAGCAATGAGGCTTAGACTATTTCTGACAAGACTTAGTCTTGGTATATAGAGATAATACAATTCACTCCTCTCCACCGCCATTGTATCTTACCCGGTTGACAGGCCTTACACCTGCATACTGTATATCTTTACAGTCGAATACGAAGTCCGAATATATGGTAGAAACCAGGTATTATATGGGTACCAAGCATACCAAACAAAAGTGTATATTACAGTTAGTCATCGAGGTCCTGTTGAAATAGCGGGTTTTGTTATTTTAGTTAATCTGACCGAAAGCTGGTGTACGAACAATATATGGTATAGCTGACTGATGTTGACAACTCTATGTAATACTCAGGGGCGTGCTCAATTCAACTCAGTGAGCAAAAAGCGGCAAGGTCCAAGCACTAAAGCGGAAGGGGAATGCCAAGGAGTGGCAGAGGAAATCAAGTACATAGGTATACTCATGGGTTGCCAGATCCCATCCTAAGTTAAGCAAATGGATTCTTATTCGCAAGCTCTGCTGAAGAGCGTATTTATCCTCCCAGCAGATCTCCTTGATGCGATATAGTGAGTACCAGTCCTGGGCCAGACAGCATCCAGCGACATCCCAAGTATGTTCGCAGGTGTATGCAAAGACACAGAATACCAACGAGGCAGTCTCAAGATGACTGCAATTTGTTTTACATTTTTACACTGTTAGAGTCTGGACCTTCGTAAGTACGAGTAGTGAGTAGTAAGCCATTTCCAAGGATTATTTGTCTGGTTATGTATGTGGACGACATCGAAGTTCCCACTTGAATTAAATTGACTGTCAATACAAGTCAGGAGTTCAGCTTCCATCCCGCCAAATTCATCACCAGCAGATCAAATAAATATGACCGCAATCCTTTCATACATTCATGGGTCATGTCGCAGGGGCAGGGGCAGGGAATGGGATATCTCAAGTCGCAAGGGCCGAGTAGTCGCTGTCTCATGAATGGTATCTTCTCGTTTGTTTTACTGAATGTGCATTGCCGCGTATGGAATTAAGTAAGGTTGGTTGGAACACAACAGCCCAAAGGGGTGAGCAAGTATGTGTCTGGCGCAGTAGGGCTGTGATCAGATTACTCTTGGTCGCGAGTGTCGCTCTGGTAGTTATTGGCGCCCATCTGTGTGGTATCATAGCCGTTAGCCTCGAGATAGTCGCGGAACCTGGCATCCTCGAGGGTAATAGTATCCTAAGAAAAGGTGAGCACATAAACAAGGTGCTCTATCTGCAGCTGTTCATACCTGATCAATCTGCGGCATCATGAAAATAGCCATGAATGCGGCCAAGATACACAGTGAGCTGGAGACGAAGAATGGGTCCTGGCCTGCACGGGTCGGATTGGGTGCGTTCTTTTGGACGACTGGAATTACGTAGGTGCCCACGAAAGCTCCGATCTTCCCGAATGCGGCAGCATACGAGTAATATTGACCACGGATAGCAGTAGCGCTGGTCTTGGCGGCGCAGAGACCGATGTTATCGCCAGGTCCCATTTCACCGAGAGCAGAGAAGATTCTGTCAAAATATTAGCATTGGCAATTGCTAGTCTAAGAAGTTAGTAAACTCACCCGAATACGACGACAAAAGCTGCCACATTCTCTGGGGTCGCAAGCCACTTGTAGCATCCGGCCATGATGAACCCGATGATGCCCTGGAGTCCAACACCAATGGCAAGAGTGTAACGAGGGCCAATCCAGTCACTCATGAAGGCTCCAAGGGCAGAACCTGGAATGTAGAAAGAATTGACCACGGTAGTCCAGCCAAAGCTCTTCCATAAGGGAGCCGAGTCACCCAAGATAATCTTTAGCCAGGCTGAAGAATAGATACCGAAGCTGTAGGCAGAGAAGTCGTAAAGGAACCAGATGATAGAAACAACAGCCTATAAATCACACCCAGTCAGTTAAGTCGGTTCAGTCTATAAAAGCAACATTTAGGCAGGGGTTGTTACCAAGCGCTTCCAGTAGAATCTAAATTCGTCAGTCAACAAGTCCACGCATTAGGGGATCTCGTACTTACTTGATAATCAGCAAGATTGGGAATTTGTGCATGCGCTCCCGGTTGAACTCCTCAGGTTCATCCATCTTCAGTCGGAGGTACATTAGACTCAGAGGGGGGATTACTCCCAGGCCCAGAGCTACACGCCAGCAAGCGTGTAGGTGCTTCTCGGTGAAGATCAAGACGAGAATCATGGAAACTAAAGCCGCAACCACGAAACCGAAATCGATCTGGAAGTTGGTGAACATGATAAACCAGCGATTGCGATGGCCGCTCTTGAGTTCTCCGGTATTCTCTGCGGCGCCGACTGACCCAGCAGGGTATTCTCCACCAATACCAATTCCCAAGAAGAAACGGTAAGCCGTCAAAGCAGCAAGCATGCCGCCCAAGCTGCCGCCAGCTCCGTAGGATCCAGCACCGAGTGCTGCAAAGACAAACAGGATGATGGTGGAGATCATCAAAGACCACTTGCGTGACCAGTGATCACTAGTGTATCCGAATATCAACATACCGACCACAGTGCCGGCAAAGACAATTGAAGAGACATTCTGTTGGGCTGTCGAGTTGGTGTATGCATCTCCGTAGATCTGTGTCAGCATGGTGCCGACGGGACCAATGACCTAGATCCAAGGTTGTCAGTAAAGATTAAATAAAAGTCCGCCAAGCTGTTCACCCATGTGGAACATTGTAGCTGCGGGGCTGCGCACACGAGGACGAAACACAACATACCTGATTCAAGTAGCCATCTGAAAAGAGACCAGCACCACAGGCAATAGTGGGCCAACTTCGTTCCCAGCGACCCTTCGTCGTCTTGTCGAGAGGCGCTATCTCGATAGGGTTCTCCTCGAGGGGACCAACGCCCTTCTCGGTCATCTCCTTGGAGTAGGACTGAGGTTCGGTCATTTCGATCGTGTTTAGGAATAACAAGAAGGAATTTGACTGTATTTAATCACGCGGTGAGATTGAGCCTCTTAGAGGTCAAAAGGATAGTAAAGCTGGCACGAGACCAACGGGAGTTACTTTGTCACCCGATCACAATAACAAGAGTCGCGTTGATCAGCAAGAGGTGTCTCTGCAAATAGAGAAGGGAAAAGAGAAATGAAGCAGAGAGGAAAGATAAATAAAACCCATGGGGGGGAAACGGTTGACAATTTTTTTTTAAAAAAAAAAAAGAAAGAAAAAGAAATTCCGGGAATAGCATCAATCTAAGTCGTATGGGGAAACGTATCTGGTACCTATCATAGAGTGGTAAAAACTTGTGTTTGGCCAAATATCGGAACTTAGTGGGACCCCGGCCCTAAGCTTGATTCTAAGCATTTAGCTTTGAGCATTCCAGTCTAATACATTTGTAGGCCAATGATACACCCCAGAAATATCACGGTCCATTATCCAACCAATGGTATGTCTATGTAGATAGGTCGGTCGGGGTAGGTTGCACTCTTACAACTCGGTCACTCCGAAAGTTCCATGAAGATGGGTTGATATCGGTATTCCAAGTGAACACGCGGCTTCCCGATTCCCATATGGAAATCAATTCCAGGTGTCAAATGTCCTGGTTTGATAGAGGGAGCCCATATCCCTATGAGATACGCACGTGCTGCACGTGCTTCGGTATTTCCCCGTTGGTCTTAGAGGCAGGCAGCACCTGCCTGTTTATGGAATAGTCTCCAAACGAAAGGATTTTGGAAGGATCGAGTAGCCCAACTAGGATAGTGGAAAACGGGCAGGTTTGACACACATCTAAACTTTATGTGCTCAAGGCCAAAATGCTAAGCAACGGTTTCCAGGTCTTTATAAAAGCCATAAAGTTAACAATTCAGCCCTACGTATGACGGAATACACTACTCCGTACTCAGGTGAATCCTCAGGCTTGAGTCTTCATTGCAATTGATTTATAAAGTGTTTTCTAGAGCCAACACATGGAATTCCTATATCCATCACTACATATAACCCAAAGTAGACAAGCCAGATATATTGCAAACATGTATATATATTTCAAGAGCGAGATCAACAAGTAGAAACATTTCCTTTGCGCAAAGAAACAAAGAAATAAATTATATTTTGAACCTCGTAAGATGCGACCGGCATTTCGTACCAGATAGAATATAGAATATCTTGACGTTCGAAGGGAGAAGGCTAAAGAAGGCTCGGCACGGAGAAACATTCCGCCAGCTGAGCTCGGGCTACGGTGATGCACCTGGCTTGATCTCATCTCCGGACATCACCAGCTTCCATCTTCTCCCTGCTATATTGCATCGTTTTCTTAATCTTGCCAGTTCTGTCACCATCACCAGTTCCCCACCGTCACCATGGGGTCTGATCCGCAGTACATCAAGTTCCCCAACCTCTCCATCGCCCAACATGTCTTCAAT